TAACAAAACCTAGTCTATGGAATATCCCCTCGCACAGCAAGCGTCTATGATATGCGAGCAGATTCGGTGATTAATTATGCCAAACAACACTGCGGATTCTCTATTGGGTCAAAGACGAACAGACCATATTCTGTAAATCTACACCATTGGAAAGTGTATTCAGTGCCCTTTCCAATGACCAAAAAACTTAGTTTTCAAAGTTGGTCCGAAGTGAGTGTCACAAATAAACTCCAAACCACGGCGAAATTATTACAGTAATGAGTTCACGTGATGACTTTCCGAACTCTCTATACCATTCTGGGAAATGGTTAGGCCCTACTGAAAACCAATTATCCGAAATTTTACGGCCAATTTTGTTTTCATCTTGAGAGGCCGGGGGCACTTAGATGCTCGAGGGGGCACATTAATTTTATGTCCGCAAGAGAGGCACTTGGGTAATTTTTTTTTTTTTGGGGGGGGGAACAAGTGCCCCCCTTCTGCCCCCCCCTTCCACCCCCCCCCCCCGGTTCCGCCGCTCCTTGGTACAAAGTTCATGAAAAGGGAACTCGCACATTCGTGCTGAAATGTAGACAGAGTTTGTTTGGGCCGGTTTTTGGCCACCGTCAAATAGTGTCGGGGGGGGGGGGGGGGCTGTTCAAACTGGATTATCACAGACACTATTGGTCAATAGTGGGCGCTTTGTCGGGGCGGAATAATTGCCAACGGTCGCGCGAAATTCCAACAAGGGCACATATGTACGCCTACATCAGTAGAAAGTTTATTCAATGTCTCTTCCATGGAGCCCAAATTCGAGTTTTTAAAATGTGTCCACGTGCCTGGTTTTGTGGTGGAGTGTCACATATAAACCCCAAATCATGGCTAAAATAATGACAGTAATGAGTTCACGTGATGACTTTGTAGCAATATGATGACCTTTCTGCGAATAAACCGTTCAACGTGTGACCGTGATTATAGTGTATGAACGAGGAAACATAAGCATGGTTCGATAATGAACTTTTGGTATCACTACTTTTGCCTCAAGCAAACCAGAAACTGTGAAATATGCTGGGAGAAGGAAAGAATAATTGAAACGTCTGATTTTCAGGAAGTTAAATTGACTTCGAAAAGTTGGATCAAGGATGATGCTTAAAAAATAATATACAACATTAGCATTTGCTGTAGTTTTGAGAAATTTATTGACTTTGGGTTTGGTATCTTATATTGAGTATTGTTACATTGATAATATGTTTAAAGTTTTGTGTTCATAGATGCTAAAAAAAAAGACAAAAAGTTGCTCTTGTAGTTTTGTTCCCTAACTCACTTCAGATGAAACGTTGGGGAATTCTCATGTCAGGAAACCAGACTAGCTGGCTTGCAATTATTAATGGATGTGTTACCAATTGCAAACAAAATGTTAACCAACGGCATTTGGTAAATTGGGGGCAGCATTTGAAAAAGTCGGATTTTTTTCCCAATAATGGTCAGCCGACCATTGTTGGAAATTGATACAAAAATTCTACTTCTATCTTGAAAATGACACATCACATCAGGTGCCATGATTTCACAGGTTGATTTGTTTACAATAGAGTAAGGTATTTCATAATAGTTTGGAAGTTTTGCATTTTAATGTTTACAAATTGTGTATATTGCTTTTAATTGACTGCATGCAACACGTTTTTGTAGTTACGCAATTTTGAAAAAAGATGTAGTTTTTATTTTTACTAAAATCAAGTTTACTGAAGAGCCAAAATGGAATTTCATGACGTCGCACCCCAAACCTATTTCAAGGTGTATGTAAATTGGGACATAACAAAATTAGGATGGGAGACATTTAGTGGCTTAGTTCTAAAGACCATGCAACCCAAACATTTAAGCATCTTCTGCATGCTTTTTTGCCCACATTAAACAGTTCACGTGATCACTTTGGCACCAATCACATTTCAAGGGATAATAATAAAACAACTAATTATAAAGTATTTATAAAGCGCTTTTACAAGATAGATCAGAGCGCTGTACAAGAGAGGACTAGGATGTTATGAATAAGAAACTTTTAAGACGTTTCTTGAAAATGGTGAGAGATGGGGCGTCCCTGCATGTTGATGGGAATAGTGTTCCATAATTTGGGGCCCGCTATTAAAAAAGATTTGTCCCCAAGGGATTTTGAACCTGTAGGAATAGAGAGAAGAAGTTTATCATTAGAAGATCTTAATCCCGGTCTGCCTGGTTGATACAAAGTGAGTAAGCCACACAGAGTAAGGAGGAGAAATACCATGTAGGCACTTGTAAACCATTTAAAGAACTTGGAATGATATACGCTGCTGAATGGTTAACCAGTGAAGAGTGGTGATGAGAGAAGAAGCATCCACAGTGCATTTGACAGAGAAAATGAGCCGAGCAGCACGGTTTTGGATATTTTGTAGTCTATGTTTATCACCTTAAGTTATACCAAATAGAAGAGAATTGCAGTAATCAAGCCGGGATGTTATAAATGTACGAACAACATGGTGACAGATGTTTTTATCGAGTAATTTACGAATTCGCCAGAGGTAACGTTGGTGAAAATTAACTGATCTACAGATGGAAGAGACATGGTTGGACATAGAAAATGACGAGTCAAATATGAAGCCCAAGTTTTTTTACAGTGCGAAAAGGTGAAATGCTCATTGGACCAGCGTTTAAGAGTGAGAGTGTCGTCTAGCTTGTTTAGTACACGTGGAGAGGCTGCTTAAAAAAACTAAGTTTTGCCACTGTTGAGTTTAAGCATATTGGTGGCCATCCAATCGTGTATTTGGGAAATGCATTTGGAGATTTTTTCAAGAGCAATTACAGAACCACCAGGAATAGCTGAGTTGAAATGAGTGTAAAGCTGTATGTCGTCTGCATAAATGTGATATTGTAAATTGAAGTGTTCAATGGTATTAGCAACAGGTTTGATGTAATATGTAAAAAGTGCAGGCCCGAGTACGGACCCTTGGGGTACACCAAAAGCTACCCTGGATTCGTCAGACAAGGTACCATCAACCCGGACGCGGTATCTGCGATCACAAACGTAAACAGATATAAAGGGCATGTCGCGGACACCGTACACTTTGCACAACCTATCGAGGAGTATTTTTATGATCTACGGTGTCGAATGCAGATGGTCAAGAATGACCAGCAAAAACACCTTCTTGTTGTCAATGACTCGGGAAATGTCATTTTGTTCAAGGAGAAGAATCGTTTCTGTGCTCTGATTACATTATTTTGTAATCAGATTGGAGTAAGACTTCTAAATTGTTATGGGCAACATGTTCAGTAAGTCTTTTGTAAACAATTTTCTCCAGTAATTTAGACAAGAATGAGGTATTAGAAATAGGACGGTAGTTTTAAATCATTGAGATCAAGCAGATACACATGCAGTGCGGAAGAGATCGGTTTTCTGAACATTGATATCACTTGACCACAACATCAAATTTGTAAACTAGAGGTTGTGGTTGTGGACAACCACAGAGCTGTTCCCATTTTGGATTGTCTATGGGACCGTAAAATAAATGATTTACTGAATTGAAAAAATTTAACTAATACAATTGATCATATTACCTAAAATAATTGCACTTCCAGTAAAACCGGAAGTAAGGGTCACGTGACCTTGACATACACATTTTCGTGCCTGCCAATATATCTACCACATTTGAGATCGATCGGTCAAATAATTCTATGGTTAGCAAACTGTAAAGATTGCCTCATTAAATATTCATGACATCATAACATAAAAACAATTAACTGCCCATTAATAATAATGCAACGTATTTAACCTATAAGGTTGGTTAATGCGTCAACCCCATCAAATTTATAATTCATTAGATATGCTAATTAGGGTCTAAAATTAACACTTCCGGCAACTTCCGGTCACATGACCTTGACATACCAATTTTCATATAAAACACTTCTTTGTCTACATACCTGCCAGGTTTGAGATCAATCAGTCAAATACTTCTACAGTTATAAGACTGTAAAGATTGCCTCATTAAATATTCATGACGGCATAACATGACAATAATTAAGTGCACAGTAATAATGATGCAATATAATTATCTGTCAATATAGCTTTGTAATAATGTAAAGTTTCAACCCTATCAGATGAATAATTTATAAGATATGATATAGGGGCCTAAACTTACCACCTCCGGTAAAACCCGGAAGTGAGGGGAAACCCGGAAGTGAGGGACATCCCCCCCCCCCAAAAAAAAACCCCATAAATTAATACCAATATGACATCGCGCCTCTTTTTTTCCTCCTCCCCCTTTTTTATTTTCCAGAGGGGGCAAGTGCCCCCTTGCTCCCCCCCCCTCCCCTCGCGGCGCCCATGATTAGAGGAGAATATGTTATTGTTTCTCATGCTATAAAAACAAAATACGAATGCGAGTAATTTGAAGTGCACGAACCCATGCTCCAGAGTTTGAAGCTCACTTTTGGAAAAAGTTGAGAAACAAAAAACTCACAAGAGAGCGCCTTTAACTCCATTGGATCTACTGATCGAAACGGAAACTAGGTTTTCTGACATTCCCATATAAGGCGCGAAGAGTGAGTTGGTTATAATGCATGCCCAGTGTGTTTATCATATTGCTCGCTCCCAAGTCGCGTTATAATCTGGCTAATGTAGATACATTTCGACTTGTGAACAAAGGTTGTCAAGACGTCATCATATAAGAAAGATGAATGGAACAATAAGACGTGGCGACGGACTGACAGCCCATGAAAGGCAGCTTTTCCGTGATGCTAATGATCATGCTCAAGACTATGCAGACATAACCCGTCACTTTAACAAAGTCATCGCCCCCATTGGAATGCTGCTGAACTTTTTTTTTCTCTTCGTAGTAATTCGAGTGAAGTCCATGCGCACGTTCATCAACGTTTATCTGTCGAATTAAGCAGTGGCTGACGTTGCCTTTCTGATCCTAACCATGTCAACAGCATGGGCAACAGAATATGCACACGTAGCTTCAGGTGCTTCCCTAGCTTTGCGAATAGTTTGTACAACGATGCAGATTGCTTCTTACTGCTTCGTGACTGTCATAGCGGTTGAGAGATTGTCCGCCGTACGCCAACCGCTAACTCAGAGAGCGCGAGCGATCAAGTCACGAGCAGCCAAGGTATCGGCAGGCGTCTGGGTTGTGGCAGTTGTCATGAGCGTTTTGGGTGGACTCGCAAATGATACAAATTATGTCACGAATGTTGTTTTCTCTCAAGTGTATGTCGTCACCTTTCTCCTGATTTACCTGGCAACGTTTACCATAACTGTTTCCTCGTATATTTTCATCATTATTAAGTTATGCCACAGTGACCGAAAGCGTCAAGCAGGCCAAACCCGTCGAGCTTACCCCGTCGTACGCATGCTGGTCATCAACACTGCTGTCTTCTTCGTTCTCAGTTTAACGGACTTCACTTTCACTGTCATTAGCCTTATACTCCTGTTCTCCTTGCACTCAGGAGCAGAAGCTGTCTTCGATATCTACTGGACAATTCTCGACGTGGAGGTCTGCTTAGGAATCTTTCGCCTCATCAACAGCTCCATCAATACTCTGGTGTACAGCGTGACGAACAGTCAGTATCGAGCGGCTTTCTTGGAGGCTTTTCCCCCGCTGGCAAAGCTCCTTGAACAGTGCCGCCGCTGCCGCCGATCGCAGCAGACGGAGCAAATAGAGCTTCGAGCGATTCCATTAGCGATCGCCGCTCAAGAATCACCGGCCCAAGCGCACTGAATATCGACGTCCAGCCAGTGTTTTAGTCGATTCCGTCACAAGTCAAGTTCCAAGACAGACACGAGTAAGACCAAAAAAAAAACATATCAAGGATGGAGATTGAGGCTAACCAACTTGGGTCCTCCCTTCAGAGTGTTTGAGACAGAGACCCGACTTTCTGCCTATTCTCATTCATACACTGTTGCTTTACCTAGATGTAAAACAAAAGGATATTCCAAAAGCCAAGTGCTGCATCTCTTTGGAATCCCTCGCCTGGTACTTGTTTCCTTCCAACCTACGATCTGTCCTGTTTCAAGAGGAATGTTAATTCCTTACTTCAGTCTCCCTGAATATTTAATGTACAGAAATTACAGAAATATGTGCACAGCAAAGGGTCGCTGATCGTATTCGCTGGTCACATAGTTTGGTAGAGGTCAGGTCAACGCAGACCCAAACCAACTCGGACCCATGCCAACTCGGACTTTTGCCGACTTGGACCCATGCCAACTCGGACTCAAGCCGACTTGGACCAATGCCAACTCGGACTCATGCCGACTCGGATCCACGCCAACTCGGCATCGGTCCGAGCTGGTTTGGTCCAAATGGGATGCGTGGAATGTACGATTCATTTGACATGGTTCGGCGTGTGCGTGAGATATGTGCGTGCGTGAGATATGGCGATAATCTTCCAAACTGCACACAAAGATATAATTTCACACGATGACGTCATCATGACTTTATCTAAATTTCATTCACGACATGCCCCTGTCTATTAACATACATATTTTCAACCCGATCGGAGTTTTATCTCTGTTGATATAGGTGACTTAACATGCAATTTTATGAAGACTTTACATAGGAGGGAAGAAGACCAGCCCTGACGTGCTGGCAAAAGGGTACAAGCAATTACATTCAATGTATAGACTTCCGAACAAAATAGGTCCACATAAACCAAGTAGAGCGACGTTGTGTGGACTTGCCCACGTCCACGGCCACACAATAATTACCCCTCTCTGGAAAACAGGTTTAGAGGCATTTTGGGTTAGATTTGTCCTTGGAAAAATGAGGAAAACAATAAAGGAAATCATAGGGGGAAAAAAACCCAAAATTTGGTTGAAAGAGTTTTCACTTTTGTAAAACTAGTTTTGTTCACAGTTTTTACGAAAACAAAAGAATGTTCACACTAGCTCAGTCTGTAACGTTAACATGTATGTACTTAAAAAAAAACGCGTTTCGAGAAAAATCAGTGTCCATTTTAAAGTCAATTTTTTTATTTTGCTATTATACCTATTATACCTATTTTCTTCCGACTTTTGTGAATATTGTTGTACATTTTCTGTCTATATTGAGTTTTGGAAAGAGGCAATTTAGTTAAACCACTTGCACCTTTTTACCATAGGGTATCACTATTAATACAAATACGAATAAAACAAAATATTAATAAACCTTTCATTTATATATTGATGATATTTCTTTCATTAATGCCGGAATATGTCGAGCTATACGTGCGAATAAGAAATTGGAGAAAACAAATACGGTACCTCATGTTTATTCATGACTTGTGCTTCCTCTCTCCCCTATATGAGACATGCTGATGTGATGTAACTGTTTTGTTAACAGCGCCCCCTAGCGTTGTGGGGGCTTGCTATGCGTATGCATGAGATTAGAAAATGATTGTATGCATATTTAAAGTACGTTCAACGGGGGACAAGGAATTATGGGCTCGTGGTAGTGTTTAGTGGGGTTTTTTTTTCAGGAGTTTTAACTTCTAAGACTTCTTATGTCAGTAAAGATATATTAACATCGATAATTTCTTTTTGGAAAGGAATTATGCGTTTTCCGTAGGTATTAATGCTTTTTTGGCAAGGAGTTATAATTTTTAAGACTTCTGAATTTAGGTTAGTTCAGGCATGTTTGCACTTGACATCTAGACACAAACTAATTATTATTATTTGTTTTAAAATTGTTTTAATTTCATCTTAAACCAGTGAGAGTTAAATTGCAATATTGTTCCGGGATCTTACCAAAAGCTGCTTTTAATTGTTCTGCCAGCTTTGGGGGGTTCTGATTTACTTTTTTACTACAGGTTTTCATCATTCAAATAAATAGATGTGCATAACGTTTCGTTTAAAGGATTACAAAAACGTGATTAGGCTTTTGTTTTTGACGGATTCGTTGCCGATTATAACGACTGTGCAATCCAATTCGCAGAAAATCAATGTTTTATTGTGAAACAGGCTGAATCGAACAATCGTTTTCAAATTCGCATTTTCAATTAGCGTTCAATTTAATTAAAAATATAGAGGCCTATACAAATCATGATACAGCTGAAATTGATCAATTAATTCATCAATGTATTTGTAGGCCTTATTGCTCATTGATGTGTTTGTTCTTATATAAGCCGAGCCTATTTGAAATATGCAAATGAAATGTTAGAAAGATATAAATCTTACCAAAATAAAATCATTCCAAACCGATATAAGCTCAAATAGTCAAATACAACCATCTTGAAAGAAAACAAGACTTAGAACGTCTAGTAAAGATGGTCCCAGACAAACTTGGTCTGAAGGGTCTAAGGAGTTACCTCAGTCGTTTGTTAAGGGGCCAAGGTAAATCTTATGCAAATCTAAATAATAAGAGACAACCAGGTAAGGTAAGGTCAGGTTAGCTCAGGTCAGCTCAGGTCAGGTCATGTCAGATCATGTCAGGTCATGTCATGTAAGGTCAGGTCAGGTCAGTCAGGTCGGGTCGGGTTTTCAAGTCTAAATCTTAACCCTAAAGGGGCCGGGGGGCGGAATCCGCCCACCCCCCTCCACATTTTCCATGATAGCCTCTAAAATTAGGTTTTTTCCCGACCCGAGCTGTTATGACTTTTTAGCCTCAAGCTTTGCGCATCTTTTGATACCAAAAAAATAAAAATCGGACCACGGGTTGCCGCGTAGCGAAATAATTTCCGGCGCTATGCGCCGTGAAAACTGAATTTTCGCATATACGTCGTGTACACAGAGCAGAATTGTCATTCCTACATTTGAATAATTAATTAGCCATAATTCCAAAACCCTTTAACCAATAGTCACGAAATTTATTGGGTATGTTTAGGAAGAGTTGCTCTATGCATGTGCCGAGTTTCAAAATTTTTCGTCACTCAATGGCCGAGATCTTAGGGGGGGGGGCATAATCCGCCCCCCGGCTGAGATGGTCAAAATAACCCGGCCCCTTTAGGGTTTAGAGACAGTATTCAGGTCAGTTAGGTAAGGTCAGGTCAGCTAGTCAGGTCAGATCCGGTCAGGTCAGGTCAGAACTGGACAGGACAAGACATTCAGGTCAGGTCAGGTCATTAAGGTCAGGTAAGGTCAGAAAGGTCAGATCAGGTCTGGTCAGGACAGGACAGTCAGGTCAGGTCAGTTTAGTCAGATCTGGTCAGGTCAGGACAGTCAGGACAGTCGGGTCAGGTCAGGTCAGGTCAGGTCAGGTCATTCAGGTCGGGTCGGGTTTTCAAGTCTGTATCGTAAGAGACAGTATTTAGGTCAGTTTGATCAGGTCAGGACAGTCAGGTCGGGTCAGTCAGGTCAGGTCAGGTCAGTCAGGTCCAGTCCGGTCGGTCGGTCGGTCGGTCAGAGGGTGCGTGTGTGCTTTAGAACACACTAGGCCGTCTTTCTGGGGCTAGCGCAAACTTAGTCTTGAATGATACATGCAAGGCCATGAGACACTGTAAAAGTTCACTGACAATAACAAAGACATCTAGAAACAACACAACACTGCAGGTGCACGCTTACACTCTATCTAAAGTGCTTTTATTGAATAAATATAAATTTAACACAGAAAAGAGACGTGAAAACAAAATGTTTGTGACGTGATATTTTTTTGTTTTGGCCTAATATTAGTTTTTTTTTCTATTTCCACCAGGTTTTTGTTGAGGATCATGTATATGCTTCACCATGCTGGAAAGAACAACTGAGACAGAGTAATAATCTATATAATTGTGCCCATTTCTAATAAACCAGATATACCAGATTTGCTAATACAATAAAGTAAACTAGAGTTACAGAACAAAATTGCCGACAGTGCATACTGAATATCATTCATTCTATGGGTTTACGAAGCGATTTTGAGTGTACTAGCATTACATTCACTGTATAGACTTCCGAACAAAAGATGTCCACATAAACCAGGGAGCAGCGACGTTGTGTGGACTTGCCCACGTCCAATGTTCCCCTGTCTGAAAACTGGTTTAGAGGCATTTGGGGGTTAGGTTTATCGGTGGCAAAATGAAGAGAAACACTACAGGGAATCATAGTGGGAAAAAATGGGTTGAACGAGTTTTCACAGTGTGAGTAAAACGATTTTTTTTTTAACTACAGGAAAACAAAAGAGTGTCCATACCAGAGGTATGTAACGTAAACATGATTGGGTAAACTGTGTATTGACTCAAATTAAAAAACCTCAAATAGCGCCCTCGTATTGTGTCCGCCATACTTCAACAAGGATAATAGTTTGTGACGCTTGAAGTTATTATCCCAGTTTTATGTGCACCTCTATCCGGGATATGTCAAACCTTGATTAGTGTCTTCTGGGTCCAAGAAAGTCCTGTGCAAAATGTCTGACATTCCAGAGATGTGTTGAAAATACCCGTCTGTTTACTTCTGGCGCGTCAGCGATTTAGGCCCCTCCTTTGAATTTCAACGCAAAAGTTAAACCGTCACTTTTAAGGTATAGATGTGTGCATGTTTATTATTCTACTTGTCATCAATCTTTGCAATGATCATTATTTCGAGAGAAATACGTTTTTAGAGCCCAAAAGATTGCAACCGACCAAAAGTGCACATTTGAGAGTATTGTCTTTTGAGTGAAAACAATTTCATGTTCTAGCGGGTCTTCCTAAATACCTTTTTGACAATTTAATTCTTAAAAAAAAAAGGATACTACAAAATGTAAATACATGTCATTGTATATTATTACTGATTAAGCAACTAAGATTCTAAACAAATCTGAAAAAACTGTAATAATCATCAGTTTTTACC